TCGGAAGGCCGGGAGGGCTCCCGGGGAGCCCTGCCGAAGGTCTGAGCAGGCCCGCGCCTGCTCGCCGCCCCCCCCCCCCCCCCACAGGGCGGCACGCTGGCGAGGGGTGCGGGCGCCCTGCCCAGACCTCCTCGCACGGCGGACAGGCCAGGAACCCAGACTCATGGACCAGAAAAGAGACCCTGAGCCTTAAGGCTTAGGGGTTCTCTCAAGACGTAGACGTAAGCCTTAAGCCTAGACCAGGTCAGCCCTACAGATCAGCCTTAAGCCCTTATCTGAGGGGGTCCCTCCCCTAAGCCTGAAGGCTTAGGGCTTAATTAGGGGCTTCGTTAAGCCTAAGCCTTAAGACATAGACGTATGCCCTCTCCCAAATTTGGGAGAGGGCATACGTCTATGTCGGGCATGCCCCCCTACAGGAGGATTTGGGGCGAGAAATAAGGGACACCAAACATGTTCAGGAGGATTTGGGGCGAAAAAAAGAGACACCAAAAATGTTCAGCGGGATTTGGGGCGAAAAAACGAGACACCAGAAATGTTCAAGCATAGTCAGAAGCAATCGGCAGATCGTCCCCAGACTATTTTGTCTACTGTCTTGGAATACTCCTCCTGTAGCGGGGCACGCCCAACTCGAGACCAAAAGCTGGGAGGGCCACGGACATCAGGGAGAAAAGGCTCTTGCCTGCAGATGTACGGCAGGTTCGTGTCGTGACGACCCCGGCGTTGGTTTCTGACACTGCGTGAATCGTTCAACCTTGAACGATCGGCGGCTTTTCGACCGCCCGACCGTTCCATATAAGCCGATTCTGGGCCACTGGCGGCGTTCAACCTTGAACGCCCTCGGCGGGGTCGCCGCCGGTCGACACGACGCGAACCTACCGTACCGAACCACAACGCCCTGATTTTTGTTTGCAGTCCGAGCCCTGCTGGCGACCAGTGGGCGACCAGGGGGCCGACTGCGAGCGCCCGTCCGCCCCTGTCGCTGCCCTTGACAATGTGTCCCCGCCCGGGCGCGCCGTCCCTGCCTCCTCCTCCTCCTCCTCCTCCTCTTCCTCCTCCTCCCATCCTCCTATCCTCCTATCCTCCTATCCTCCCTCCTGCGTTCACCGGTGCATCGGCGATGCAACGGCAGCGTCGGCGATGCATCGGCGCCGTCGGCGCGAAGAAAAAATCGGGCTCCACGTCGAGCCGCATCGCCGATGCGTCGGCGATGCGTCGCGACCCTCCGGCCCCATCGGCTCGGGCCCCATCTGGGAGGCCCAGGCGTGCGCAGCCCGAAGCCTAGACGTGCGCAAGCCTGTTCGGTCGTACCGAAACCCGAAGGGTGTTGCCCAGAGTTGCCCTTGGTTGTCTTGCTTGCCCGTACAACGACAGGCAATACCAAGCAATACCAAGCATCGCCAAGCATCGTTAAGCAATTCCAAGCAATGCCAGGCAGCGCCAAGCAATGCAAAGCAATGCAACACAGCGCGAGGCAATGCCCGGCGGCGCCAAGCAATGCCAGGCAATTCGAATAGAAGGGAAACTAATACCATAAACATACTTTTCGCGCACCGCGTGGATTTCTTGCATCTGCGCAGGACCCCACTTCCTGGCGCGCGGAGCGCGCCAGGGGCGGCGCCAGAGGCGCCGCCGGGGGGGGCCAACGCAAATCCAAGAAACCCGCGTGGAGCGCCAAGAGTTTACGTTCATGGAGTTTTTTCTTCTGCGATCATAGCAACCTTACCCATCGGTCGGAAGAAGCAGGTAGAAGCATGAAGTAGGAAGGCGTTGGAAGTAGATTGGGTTTCCGCCCGCCTCCTGACGAGGAGGGAAGAGGGAAAACCACTCGGCGCTTGAGGTAGGAAGGCGGCGAAAGTAGATTGGGAACTGGGAATTCACAAACACTTCCTTTCAACGACCGATGGGTACCCCCCTCCCGAGCGCGTCCACGTGCACGGCGCACGAGTGCAGATCGCTGGTGCCGACGGGCGCGTCGTACATGCCCGGCGCCTGGCCGCGCCGAGGCGGCTTCGCGCGGGAGCGGCGCGGCGCGCCAGCGGGGCGCATGGGCTTAAAAGGGACCGCCCGTCCACACAGAACCTTCCACGAGAAAACCAGCCTGGAGACCCCAGGACGTCCATTGTTTCTGTTGCTGTGGGAGCGTCACGCGCTCCATCGCAAGAACCATCGAAGCCCAGGGAACCCAGGGCACCCATGAGGCAAGCAGGGTGTTTCTTGGCATGGTTTTCCACTTGAAACCCTATACCACCGTGGAGGCCGGCCAGGCCCCGGGGGCGTAGCGGTGAGAGCAGCTGGTGAAGACAGGACGCGACTTTTGTATGCTTCCCAGAGATCCGACGCTCCATAGAAATGGGAGCGGGCAGCTTTCAGCCGTTTTCGGCCTCTGGAGGCCCTCGCAGGGCCTCGGGAGCGTCAAAAAAGGACTAAGGACGAAAGCCCGCCCAAGGGAAGTGGTCCGGACCTCCCGAGCCCACGCATTGAAAAAATTGGAGCAGCCCGATGTCTGAGTTAGAAACCTCCTAGATGGGGTCCGAATCTATATATATATATATATACACACACATATATACACATAAATATTTATACACGGTTGGAGGATCGCGCCGCATCGGCGATACATGGGGCGATGCATCGGCGATGCATGCATCGGCGACGCGGCGCGATCCCCCGACCCCATCTGCTCGGACCCCACTTGGGAGGCCTGAAACACTACCCCCACAAACAAGCTGGTCCGGCACACGACCGTGGAGCGGGGTTTGTCTACAAGAATGGCACCCTCTGGGGTCACGATGCTTACACAGTATCAACAGGCTAGTCTGGCACGAGGCATGCAGGTAGGGGCGGTTGCCACACATCGGCCCCCGATGAGAGCATCCCGAGGCTGGAAAACCGCCCAGGTTAGAAGAAGTCCCTCGAAAACCCCGAATCTCGAACCGCCGTCGCCAGACCCAAAAGACGACAAGGGCGTTCTCGTCCCATTTCGGGCCTGGAGAGCCTCACAGATCGATCCGGCTCGAAGACTGCCGCGGCACGACGGGGTCCGGGATTCCTGTCGCGATGGTTTGCGATGTTTTGCGATGTTGTTTGCAGTGGCGGGTCGCTGGTGAGAGGCGTGAGGAACGGCGGCACGTGCGCTGGGAGCTGACGGTTGACTTGGCGGCTGACTTCGGCTGCGCGGGGGTTGGGGGTTGGGGATTGGGGCGATGGAGGGGGGAGGGGGATGCAGAGAGAGGAAGTTGAGAGCAATACGGTCATGGGATGCACAGAAAAGTACTAATACTATTTGTCCTCCGTGGAGGCGCGCGTCCGACCCGAGCATATAGTACACCCATCTTGTAGTACATCCTTCCTCGAGCGGTGTGGCCAGGAAGCGCCCGCCACGACGCATATGCCAGAAGATTTCTCGGTGCGCGCATCGCCCCTGGGGGGGCGATGCACACACAGTAGTAGTCTGGCCATCGCTCGGACGTCCATTCCCTGTTTTTTTCGGTTTCGTGCATGGTTTTTTCGCCAAATGATCAAGGATGCTCCTCGATGGTCCTCGCCACAGGAAAAATGCACACGTCCGAGCGATGCCAAGTAGTATGTTTGGGTGACGGCGGGGCCAGGAACTTTTGCACAGCGTGCCGCCGCAGCGGCCCTGGCGACACGCTGTGCCCTGCAGGCGGGTCGCGTGTCGCACCGCCTCGCGGGGGCGGGAGAAGCGGACAAGAGGGTCCGGACGTGGAAGCCGAGGGGCCAGGACGTGGACAGCGTGTCGCATCGAAGCGTGGCGGTCCAGCCCTGGCGGAGCGACACGCTGTCCAAAGATTCCCGACCGCAGCGAGCTGGAGCCAGCGCTGGTCAGGGGCAGTGCTCAGGAGAGGGGTTGAGGCAGGAGGAGCAGTAATCAACGGTGGGCGTCAGCGGTGGATCGTCGGCGAATGGCTTCTCCCTCGCCGTTCCTCTCTTCCTCTACCTCTTTCTCTCCCTCCCCCTCCCCCCCGAAAAAGGACGCTCTGAGCCCAGCATTTCCTCGAATATGTGACGAGATCGCTTGTCCGCTCTCCGTGTCGGAAGTGTCGCAAAAGGGAGGCGTGGGAGGAGGAGAAGGATGGCGACGACGACGAGGGGGGAGGACGGAGGGGAGGGAAGAGGCAGCAGAGAGAGGGATGAGGGATGGGGAGGAGGAGGAAGAGGAAGAGACGGGGGAGGGGGAGACGGAGGAGGAAGCGAGGGAGAAGAGGAGGGAGGAGGGACGGAGGGAGGAGCGACGCGGAAGGAGAGAGGATGCGGGTGTTTGGTAGCAGCGGCTCCCAGGTCCAGGGGGGAAACGGGCTCGCCGCCGCCGCACTGCGAGGCCGGAGCGCCGCCGCTTCCTCTCCTCCTCCTCCTCCTCCTCCTCCTCCTCCTCCTCCTCCTCCTCCTCCTCCCCCCTTCCTCCTCCCCCTCCTCCTACTCCTCCTCCTCCTCCTCCTCCTCCTCCTCCTCTTCCTCCTCCCTCCTCGTCCCCTCCTCCTCCTCCTGCTCCTCCTCCTCCTGCTCCTCCTCCTCCTCCTCCTGCTTCGTCCTCCTCCTCGTCCTCCTCCTCCTCGTCCTCCTCTCTCCCTCCTCCTCCGCCTCCTCAGGGCTCACTCCCTCCTCCTCCTCCTCCTCCTCCTTCTCCTCCTCCTCCTCTTCCTCCTCCTCCATCTCCTCCTTCTCCTCCTCCTCCTCCTCCTCCTTCTCGCGCTTCCGATGTTTTCTCGCCTCCCTCTGCCCCTCCTGCACTTTCCGTTGTTTTCCGATAGCTCCATGCCTCCTGCCCCTCGCCCGCTACTCCGCGAGCGCCGTTTGAACAAGGAAAGGCTGACCACGATCTGCCACGCCGCTCGCCTCGCGAAGCCTGCGACTTGGACAGGAGGCCTTCGGCACTCCAGCGTTCCCTGCAGAGCCAACGCTCGCTGTGTCAAGGGTCGGTTTCCGGGACCCTCCCTTCGTAACCCAATGCTTTGCCGAGGCCTCCTCCTCCTCCTCCTTCTCCTCCTCCTCCTGCGCACGGGGAGGGATGGAGGCCCGCGGGAGAGATCCGCAAGGCCGCATGGGGCGGGTGAAACACTGGCGCTGGCATCGCAAACCCGCCGCCGGAAGGCGGCGGGAGCGGCCAGGAGGAGCTCCTCGGACCTCGCTCGTGCACGGCGACGGGCCCCGCCGCACCGTGCTCGATCCTCGAGCCTGCAGCTGCTGGAGGGTGCTGAGCAAGGGGTGCGCGGCCCCGCCGATGCGCCCAGGGTGTTTGCGCCCGGGCGGGACCACGACCGGCAACAGAGGCCTCCCAGATAGTGGTCCGAGCAGATGGGGTCGGAGGAGCCCGCCGCATCGCCGGTGCATCGGCGATGCATCGGTGATGCTCTGGCGACGTCGGCGGTGCATCGGCGACGTCGGCGCGGTGAGAAACGGGCCCCACATCGAGCCGCATCGGCGATGCCTCGGCGATGTGGCGCGATCCTCCGACCCCCAGCTATACTCCGACCCCATCCCAGAGGCCTGTGAGAGGCAAGGGGGTGACAGCGGGGCTGGCAGCGCCCGGGGCCGCGCGTTCGCGCGGGAGCGGGGGGAGCGGGCGCCGCGACGGGCAGGGAAGGGGATAGGCAGGCGAGGGAGGCTCGGGGAGGCAGGGCCACGGAGTTAGGCCGGGCCTGTCCCCCTGCAGGCGGGTGTTGGACGAACATACAAACAGAGTCAACAACATGCCCCAAGATGGCCAACACATGCTCAAAAACTCGTCCCCGTACTGTTCTTTGACTATTCCTGAACATCCCTCCTGTCGACTTGGACGCCCGAAATGGGTACGGACAAATGGGTACAATGCCCAACAACGAATGTTGTCCCAAACCAACAGCGGCCGCTGTTGGGCAGGCGGTTTTCTGTCTCCAATGGACTCAGGCCGCGGCGGCGCGGACAGCGAGTCCTGCTCAACATGAACAGGAACTGCTGTTGGGCAGTGTACCCATTCTTTCCGTGCCCATTTCGTTCGTGCAGATGTCGAGGGCCAGGCCCGACGTAAGGCCACGGCGGCGGGGGGCAGGACGGCCCGTGCCGGGCCGGCAGGCGGCGCCGGCGCACGCCCTCTCAGCGCCCGCCTCGCGCGGGCGCCGCCCGCTTCTGCCGCACGTCCCGGGCGGCGTTCTTCCTCGCGTTGTGGAAGGCGAGCGCGTCCTGGGGGCAAAGGCACGAGGCGCCCGATGCCGCTATATCAGTCGGACTTCATTGGACAGCACGCGAGAGGACAGAAGACCCCTCCGAGGGCCGCACTGCCGCAGGAATGCAGGAGGCACGGGTCGCGAGACACGGGACACAAAGGCACCCTTGATTTGGCAGGGTCGACCTGCTAATCCGGGCCGGCTGTACTCTCCCCGGACCCCTCCCCCCTGCTCCTCTTCCTCCTCCTCCTCCTCCTCCTCCTCCCTCCTCCTCCTCCTCCTCTCTCCTCCTCCCTCCTCCTCCTCCTCCTCCTCTCCCTCCTCCTCTCCTCCTCCTCCTCCTCCTCCTCCTCCTCCTCCTCCTCCTCCTCCTCCCCCCTGTAGGACAACGAGCAGGAGGAAGAGGACTCTCCCCAGGCGTGCGCCCCGACCAGCTCCCGGGGCGAAGCCGGCCGCGTGGCGACGGGCGGCCGCCTCTCTCTCCGGAGGCCCGGGCAGGGCGGCGAACAAAACGGGGCAAGGGGGTCCCTGGTGTGTCGGTGCCCTTTCCTCCTCCGGCGTCCGGGTGCTGCGTCTCGATCCTGCCCGCCTCCATGCGGTCGAACATCTCCTTCGCGTCGGAGGCCGACTCCAGAATTGATCTGTCCCAGACTTTACAGGTGTCGCCGAACCCACGAGACATACGTACGTACATACATACATACATACATACATACATACATACATACATACATACATACATACATACATACATACATGCATGCATGCATGCATGCATGCATGCATGCATGCATGCATACACACATACATACATACATACATACATACATACATACATACATACATACATACATACATACATTCATACATACATGCATGCATGCATGCATGCATGCATGCATACATACATGCATACATACATACGTAGAGCGTCCGTAGATGCACGAACATTCTACGGACTTGTTTTGCAGATTCGACGACCAAACAAACTCTGGGGCTGGTCGATCCCAGACTCGGCTCCTGGGAGTCGAACTTGTCCCCCTGCGGCACGGCGGCCGGGGCGCGCTGCGCATGCCCGTGCTGCAGGCCGTACCACTCCTCGAAGGCCTGCACGAGCCTGGCCTTGCACTGCTGGAGGCTGCGCTCCACCTGGAGGGCAAGTCGCCGCGGGACAAGGAGAGGAAGGAACAACGGCATGCACAGAAACTTTCGTCGACGGTCCGCGCGGAGTTCTGGGCTCTGCGCTGGGCCCCTCTCCCTGGCGCGCGGAGCCCGCCAGGGGGGGGCCCAGCGCGGATCCCCAAAAAGAGTCCCGAGGGAAACGTCCAAGCGATGGCGATGGCGATGTCGACGCTAATCGACGCTACATCGACGCTAACCGACGCGAGCCGACGCTAAATCGGCGCTATCTCATCGACTCCCAGGCGCTAATCGACGCTAAAGACATAATTAAGATGATCTACCAGGCTCCCATGATTTGCCATCGAAACAAGGGGGCCCAAGAGAAACGCCCAAACGATGGCGAGGAATGGATACATATATATATATATACATATGTGTGTATATCCATATACACATACATACATACATACATACATACATACATACATACATACATACATACATACATACATACACACACATACATACATGCATACATACATACATACATACGTACGTACGTACGTACATACATACATACATACATGCATACATACATACATACACACAAATACATACATACATACATACATACATACATACAGACAGACAGACAGACAGACAGACAGACAGACAGACAGACAGACAGACATACATACACATACATACGCATACGCAGATTTGCAAACGCACATGCATGTACGCAAACTTACATACACATATACACAACACATACATACACATATACATACGTACATGCATGTATGCGTGCACACATACATACATACGCATGAACATACACGTTCATAGTCATACGCGTATGTTTATCCAGCATAGTCACACTGATAGTGTGAATGATGCTGATAATCAGAATGCGAATTATACTGAGAATAACGATACTGATAATGACAGTACTACTAATAATAATACGGGGCGTACGAATAATGGCGAGACCAATAATGATGACATTGACAAGAATCATGATGCGAATAACAACAAATAAAACTAATCCCCAAAGCGGGGGCGGGCGTCCGCCTATCCAGGGTGCCCAGCGCCAGGCGCTCGGGTAGTGCGCGTGGCGAGCCCGCTAGAGGCCTCCTAGATGGGGTCCGAGTAGATGGGGTCGAAGGATCGCGTCGCATCGCCAATGCATCGCCGATGTATCGGCGATGCATCGGCGATGCGTCGGCGACGTCGGCGATGCATCGAAGACGTCGGCGTGGGGAAACCCGGGCTCCACATCGAGCCGCATCGTCGATGCCTCGGCCATGCGGCGCGATCCTTCGACCCCATCTGCTCCGACCCCATCCAGGAGGCCTAGAACCGCGTCGGTCGCGCGCGGGCTGCCGGCAGGCCCGGTCTGGCCGCCGCCCTCTTCTGTTGCAGCCTCGGGGGGCCCTGGTCTGTCCCGTCGCGGCCCTGTCCGCGTCGAGTCCGTGTCGAGTCCTGGTCGGACTCGTCGGGTCCGCGCCGAATCCGCGTGGAGCCCTCGCCAAGTCCGCTTTGAGTCCGCAGCGAGCCCGCGTCGGGCACCAGTTTGGGGGACAGGCGCGGCCCCCCGAAGGTGCAACGGAAGCCCTCCGCTTTGGGCCTCTGCGCCGCGCCCTCGTGAGAGGGCCGCCGCTCGCGCGGGAAAGGCGCCCACGGCAGGAGGGGCCCCCAGAAGCGCGAGAAGGAGGAGGAGGAGGAGGGAGGAGGAGGAGGAGGAGGAGGAGGGAGGAGGAGGAGGGAGGAGGAGGAGGAGGAGGAGAGGAGGAGGAGGAGGAGGAGGAGGAGAGAGGAGGAGAGGGAGAGGGAGGAGGAGGAGGAGGCAGGCTTCGCCATGGGGGGGGAGCGTGCGGGGCCCGACGGCAGCGGGTCCGAGGCTCGTCGCCGCCCGTGGGCCCTCGCGAGGCCCTGCACGGGCGCCCAGGGCTGTCAGAGAACGGCTGGGGAGGAAGACCTCGTCCTGGGGGCAGGCCCCAGGGTCCAGGACCAGTTTCGGCGGTGGACAAACCTCCCTTTAGTAAACCTCCCGTTAGTGAAAACGGCCTGGGACCGAAACCGACGAACCTGGACCCGCAAAAATGACCGCTGCGACGTATCAGGGTAGGAGGTCTGTCCACCCCCGACAGTCTTCCTCGGGACCCGCTTCCCCCCTGCCAGGGGACAGCACTGCACGAACGTTACTGGACGTCAGCACGTGCTGGCAGGGGAGTGCCTCGCCGAGTGCCCGAGATGTTCCAGCTTTTTCGTGGGTTCTGGACGGCTTTCCAGCCTCGGGATATGCTCCAGCAGCTGCACCTCGCCGAGGGCGTTCTGGGGTGTGCACTCTTGGGGCGTTGGCAGGACTAATGGAGAAATCCAAAGGTATCGATACCGCTACTCCCCTGACCTCTCCCGGGGTGCGTTCTGACCAGGATTTCGAAGCGAATCCAACGGTGGCGACCCTCCCAGAAGGTCCAAAATGGGGAAAACGAGGGAGGGGTATGGGTACCTTTTCCTCCTCTGAGGTTTAATGTCTTTAATGGGATATGCTTCAGTGATGTGTTCCAAGGGGCACCCCCCGGCCCCATGCCACTGACCGGAACTGCCGGCTACGGCAGGCATGGCTTAGTGCCAGGTCGGGCATGTCCCCGTACAGGCGGATCTTGGAAGAACATCGAAAATGATGCAAGAGTAGCCAGACATGGTCAAAAGAGCACGACAAATCGTCCCCAGGCTATTTTTCTGCTGCGTTCGAGCATTCTTCCTTCTGCAGAGGGCCATGCCCGACTTGAGCTTAGTGATTCCCGTTCCTTCTTGGACCCTCGGGAGCCAGTCACGAACGGGCTCCCCTCACTCGGGGACCTGGCCGTACCCCAAACAGACAGCCGCACAGACATAGAGCCTTCCGAGGGTTCGCGCGGATGGCCTTGACCGGCGCCGCCGAGGGGGGGGGGGGGGGAGGGGGCGGCGCCGTTCTGGGAAGCCCGCGCGGAGCCCAGACTGCCATGTTTATGCCATGCTCTCTTCCTCGGCCACCTGCATGACCTCTGTCCGGACCCGCGTGTGGGTCTCGAAGGCCTGGCGGTACTGCAGCTTGGTCTCCTTCAGGCTCCTGATCAGGGCGTACTCCTCCTCGTCGATGAACTCCTCGTCCCGGCCGCTCGGGTCCATGCCCTTGTCCGCCTGCTTCCTGTCCAAGCGCTCCTTCGCCTCGTCAATCTCCCGCTTCTTCGCGTTCGCGGTGGTCAGGGCCACACGCATCTCCTCCTTCCGCTCCCGAAGCTCCACCCGGCACTTCTCGAAGTCCTCCTCGAAGGCCCGGCCTTCGTGGGCCTTCCAGCCCGCGAAGGCGGCCTGAGCATCGTCGAACCGATCCCGATCCCCACCAGCGTGGCCCTGGCCCCACTGAGCGACGGGGAGAAGATTACACCAGAGAGAAGCCCCAATCAGTGGATGGCTTGAAGGTCGGTGGTGATATGGATGGTGAGGTTGATGGTGAGATCGATTGAGTGGGAAGGATTGTGAGATCGATCATGAGATCGATGGTGAGCTCGATCGTGGGATCCCGAAGTCGGCCCAGAACCAGCAACCTGGAACCCGGGAACCTTGAACAAGCAACCCGGGAACCTAGCCGGCCATCCAAATCGGCCCGGGACTTTCGCCAAGTCTTTCAATATCCGCTAGGACCCCTTCAGTGCAAGCACTGATTCGGGAATCTGCATGTCCGCTCGGGCTCCGCGGGGCGCCCATGCCCACCCAAACAGAGGACGGGCTGCCGGGGCTGCGATGGCATGGCCGGGTGGGGATGGGGGCGTGTTGGACCGTGCCGACGGCCTGCTTGTCGGGGGGGGACTCCTCCTCCCCCCGCGCCAGCGTGCGGGCCCTCTGCACCGACGCGTCCGACAGGCTGCCCGGCGTGCGCCCGTCCTCGCCCGCCTCGCCCGCGGGCGCGCCGGCCCTCTCCTCCGCGGGGGGCCGGCTGCCGGCGGGGGCGAGGCCCACGCTGATGCCGCGGCCCTCCTCGTCGTCTCCGACCTCGCCCTCGCGGCCGGGCGCGTGGCCCTGCGGGGCGGCGGGGCCGGCGCCCGGGGCCTGGTCCGCCCCCTCGCCCTGCTGCGCGGCGGCGGCGGGGCGCGAGGCCAGCTCCGTGCCCAGCTGCTGGTAGAGCCTGCGGAAGCACCCGAACGCCTCGTACACCATCCGCAGGCTCGAGACCTCGATCTCCTGGAGCTCCCCGTCCACGTACATCTTGACCTTCTCCTCCAGCTCCCTCACCTCGTCGGGGGTGTACTCCTCGTACTGCACCCGGGAGCGCCCAGCCAGGGTGTCGTGCATCGCGAGCTCCTGCTTGAGGTCCTTGATCTGGCGCTCGTACTTCCTGATCAGCAGCTGGGGGTCCAGGTGCACGTTGACGGAAGCCTCGTTGGACACCCGCATCATGCGGGTGGCGAAGCGGAGCGTGCTGGCGGTCTCCTGCAGCATCTTGGCCTCCGGCCAGACGTTGGCGATCATGGTCGTCTTGCAATTGCCGCCGAGCGAATCTTTCAGCAGGTGCGTCAGCTTCGACTGCCGATACGGCACGTGGTCGCGGTGCTTGTTGCCGAGCGCAACTACGACCTGCTCCAGGAAAGTGAGTGACTTGTTGATGTGTGTCGCCTCCTGCAGGATCACGCCGTCCGAGCCCGTCTTCTTGACGCGCTCGCTGCCCGCGAGGTCCACGAGGTGCAGCTTCGAGTAGATCACCTTCTCGCTCGACTCCACGCGCGAGCGGCTCTCCACGTGGATGGTGAACACCACGTGGGAGCGCGTGGAGCCCTTGTTCAGGGCGTGCTCCGCCACGTGCCGGTTGGTGTCGCCCTGGAAGAAAACGTGGAGAGCCTCCTCCTCCGAGGCGGCGACGGGCGCCGAGAGGCCTCTGGCCTGGATGTTCCCGCGCGCATCCTCCACGATGGTGATGTCGCCGGACTGATCGGACACGGCCACGTCCCGCAGAAGGTCAAACATCAGCTCGTTGTAGATCTCCAGGTAGGAGAGCCGGACGGTGATGCTGCTCTCTGGCCTGGCCGCCGCCTCCGAGAAGACGAGCGAGATGGCACGAGGGACGATGCCGCGGTCCGCGAAGCCGACGTGGCCGCCGGTCATCGTGTGCGTCTTCCCGGCACCAGTCTGGCCGTAGGCAAGGATCGTGCCGTTGTAGCCCTCCATCACGGAGCGCACGACGTCCTGCGCGCAGCACTCGAAGACCTGCTCCTGGCTGGCGTTGGACAGGACCTTGTCGAGCTTGAAGTGCCAGGCCTCCTGCTGGTTGTTGACGTGCCCGGCGGTGTCGTCCTTGGGCAGCCGCATGTCGATGCTGTCGGAGGCCTCCGGGGGGGTCAAAAGAGCACCCATACTGCTACTCCGCCCGCCCCTCCAGGGGTGCGTTCTGGCCAGAATTTTGAGGCGTCAGCATCTTCCCCCCCCCCCCCGAGCCTCGCTGAACTCGAAGTTCTGGCTCGCGTAGCTCGCCGTTGGGCGAGCACGCACCACGACCCTCACGCTCGAGCGACCCATGCTGGCAGCCCAGACATCCGAAGATGCGCTCTTGTTTCCAACGCGCGGGCCCCAGACCCCTCATCCTGGTCCAGCTTCCCAGAGATCCGACGTCGTGATTTCCTCAATACGGGGTCCCCGGAAGTCTCGACCCATATCCCAAGACCGGTTTCTCATCCCGAGACGTTTTTTGACGGTCCTGGGGCCCGGCGAGGGCGTCTAGAGGCCGAACATCGAGAAAAAACGCCGTCTTGACTTTTTCAATGCGTTGGAGGTCTGGGTTTTATGGCCTCCGATCCGCTCCTGATGGCCCCGGAGCTCGAGAAAACGGCCCCTCGAGGGCGAGGGCCGAAGCCGAGGGAAAGGCGCTGGGACGGCAAGCTGCTGCGTTCCTGCTCGCTGTGCACGCGTCACGCGCGCGGAGCTCACACTGCCAATGCCGCGCTTCTTGCTGTGGCTTTGTGCCTCGGCCCACCATGGTAATGGGTGCCTTTTTCACGCGTAGAGGTGGGGGAGGGGCGGGTGGGGCGCGAGACAAGGGCCTCCTCCGTGGGGGATGGGGGGCGAGACGGAGGGCGCCTCGGTCCACCATGGTCATGGGTCATGGGTGCCTTTTTCACGCGCAGGGATGGGGGAGGGGCGGGTGGGGCGCGAGACAAAGAGCGGCCTCCGTGGGGGATGGGGGGCGAGACGGGGGGTGTCTCGGCCCACCATGGTAATGGGTGCCTTTTTCACGCGTAGGGATGGGGAGAGGCGGGTGGGGCGCGAGACAAGGGCAGCCTCCGTGGGGGATGGGTCGAGTGGGATTTCTGGCCCTGTCCAGCGGGGGGTTTCGCGCCACCTTCAGGGCTGATTCCAAGGCCGTCGCTGCTACCCTACAGCGTCACAACAGTACGAAGTCTCAGGTGCAACTGCTTGACATTACATGAAAAGGAGGAATCTCATCTAGGAGGGCGCCCCCAGCTCCCCCAGACCCGTGTTCCCCCAGAAATGGCTGGTCTGACAAGGGCAGCCTCCGTCGGGGAGGGGGGGCGAGACGGAGGGCCACACCGTCCGACGTCTGGGAGGGACGCCGCGCCAGCCGCAGCCCGCGGCCCCGAGGAGGGCACGGCCGTGCCCGCGCGCCGCCGGGCCCGCGCGCGGGGGGCCGCGCGCGGGCTGCGGGGCGCCCCGCGGGGGCCTCGAGAGGCTGTCGCGCGCGCCGCCCGGGGGGGGCCAGCCCTGACCTTCCAGAGAGCTATGTTTTAGCACTGGAGACCTAAAAACCTAAAAAGCTGAGCGAAACAGCCTAAACCAAGACGTAGGATAGCTGTGGGACAGGTTTTTAAGTCGGGTGCTATCTTTTAGCCCTCCTGGAAGGTCAGGGCAGGCCGGGAGGGGCGCCGGCTGCGCGGGGGGGCAGACCCAGACCTGATCGCGTCGTTGAAACATCAGGACGCGGTAGGTTGTTGCCAGTGTTCGGCTTTCGGGGAGCCCTCGCCGGGCCTCGGAAGCGTCAAAAACGGCCCAGGACGGAGAACCGGTCCCTGGGAAAGGGTCGGGGCTTCCAGGGACCCCGTTCTGACAAAATCAGGGCGTCGCAGGTCTGGGGAGGCAGGGTGCGGAAGGAGAACCCCTTCCGGTCTTGCTTTCCGCGACCTTTCCTTGTCCCTTCTGGCGGGGAGAGTCTTAAGGACTACGCCATGTTTCGCAGGCCCCTCGACTCGTACACCTGCGTGCCGAGGTGTTCGAGCCACCACCACCTCAAACTTCCTGTCCGCGGTTTGGGTGGATTGAGCGAGGACCGACCGTCCCGGCGTTCTTATAGTCCTACCACGAAATATTCTTAGAACCCAAAAATGTTCAAATAACAAAAACAATGTTCTTAGAGCATCACCCCGATGCGACAAAACAAGACAGACTCCTCTAGAAGTGTTCTGAGAACATGTCGTGAAAACCACAGAAGGTTCTTAGAACATTGTTTGGTGGGGCTGTAGGCGAGCCAGGACGCTTCGCCACTGCTTGAGTGGAGACGAGAGTAATGAGGTGGGGGGAAGGGAGGACCGACAGCAGGAGCAGGTCACTGGGAGAGAGAGAGAGAGAGGGTAGCAAGCACGAAGCTATCCTTCGCAGGAGAAGGTGCGTAGCGAGGCAGGAGTGGCCGGCATCGGACCGATACTCTGGATCGGACAGGGGCGTGCATCACAAATGGCCGCACTGGCATGGCACGGAGTCGGAATAGCATCGAAGCGGCTGCGCCATGATGCACAGCAACGCCATGCAAACATCGGCCCGCATCACATCGCCGGAACATTGTAAGCGACTCGGATCGAGCCGGTCGAAATCGATATCGGATCAGATCGATCGAATGTGATCATAGATGGGGAGGGAGATCTGATGAAGAGGCGCCGGCAAGAGGAGGGGGTCACGAAGAGGCAGAGAACTACCGTCAAGCAAAAAACTATCGGTCGCAAGGCCCCCTGCTGCCGCGAGTCAACAGAGCCTTTGCCCTAGGCAGGAGGGAGGAGGAGGGCGGCGCTCCTGGGCTCGTCGCCTCCCTCGGTGGACACACCACGCGTGGGCTCCTCGTCGTTCTCCTCGATCTTCGATCCTCGATCCCCTGCGCACCCCTTCTGCCCTCCCAAGCGTTTCCTCTGGTGAAGGCCGCTTCGCTCCCTCCAGGACTCCCCGTGCAGCCGCCAGGCCTGTGCAGCATGCAGAAAACTAGGACCTGTCGACCCCCTGCCGTCCTTATGGGTTCTGGAGGTTGGCGTCCCCGCCCCACTCCCAACACGTTGTGTTGCTTCCCGTCCCGTTCCTCCTCCTCCTCCTCCTCCACCTCCTCCTCCTACTCCTCCTCCTCCCCCTCCTCCTCCTCCTCCTCCTCCTCCTCCTCCTCCTCCTCCTCCTCCTCCTCCTCGTCCTCCTCCTCCTCCCTCCTCCACGTCCCTCGATATAATCCTAAAGCATTGTCCTCCTTATCCACCGTCCACATCCTCCCTCCGAAAACCACCCACAAGCATCTTTCTCCTTCGCCTCGTCCTCCTCTTCCTCCTCTTCATCCCGGATTCATCCCTCCGCCTCCTCCTCCTCCTCCCTCCTCCTTCTCCTCCTCCCTCTCCTTCCCTCCTCCTCCTCCTCCTCCGCCCTTATCCCTACTCCCCCCTCGCTTCTCCCGCCCCTATCCTTTTCATCCTCCTCCTTCCTCCCTCGTCGTCGTCCTCGTCATCGTCCTCATCCTCGAACTCTTCCTCTTCCTCCTTTTCCTCCTCCTCCTCCTCCTCCTCCTCCTCCTCCTCTCACCTGACTCCTCCCTCCTCCCTCCTCCCGCCCTCAGGGAGGGTACCTCGGCACTTGGGCGGGGCGTCGGGATTACTGGGAGAACTGAATTCCGCCAAGCCGCTGTCTTCGTGGGGGCTGCGCTGCGGTAAGAATGTCTGATGCCCCGCGGTCCTTGGACCGCAACCCCTGGGCTTGTCGCTGGATGGTGCAGTGCGGTCCTCGGGATCTGCTCCTTCTCCGCCGTGCAGCCCCACTGTGGGCGCACCCCGGTTGTGTCCCACCGGGTCGAAAGGGTGTGGGCCAGGGTCGCTCCGACCTGCTGACTGGGCGGGGGGGGAGGCTCTGGGGTGCGGGCCGCCTGCCTACGGGCTGTGGGGGCGGTGCTGGGCCCCGCGCTGAGCCGCGCACCGCGCTCCCCGCGCGGTGGACGAGGGGGTGCCAGGGCCCCCGACCTCAGAACGGCGGGGAGGCTCGGGGCGGCGCGCGCGGCGTCGCCATCACAGTGATCGGAGGGCTGCGTGCCGCCGCTGGTGACTCCACCGCTCTCGGCAGTCGTGAGCGCTCTCTCTCGGCGCCGCGGGACTCTCTCAGAGCAGGTCATCCTTGTCACAGCTCTCCCATAACCCAGGCGCCCTGGCCTGTCCCAGGCTCCCTGCCCAGGCATCGTCTCTGTGGATACTTCCATGCTCGGTGCTAATTACGCTTCACAGTCTTGCTCACCACCGGCTCAGCGCCGTTGAGTGAAACCTGCTCGACGGAGCACAGCGTCCGCACTCATGCCAGCGTCCCACCACCTTCCTCCTCCCTCCTCCCTCCTTGTCCTCACGACACTGCCATCGTCCGCCGCCGCCTCGTCCTCCCCCCTCCCCCCTGCCCACTCTCCAAGCCCCTGCCCCACGGGGAGGGCGGGCCTCCCGGCTGGGGCGCTCGGCGCAGTCGCCCTCCATCAGCTTGGGCCAAAAAGTGTAGGCTGCACGGCGGGCGCCAGACTTCGGAGCGCTCTCATGCTACGACGAAGCCATCAGCGAGACAGCATTGGACCGGGGCCAATCGGGGGTCCGTGAAATCTGGCGGCTGTGGAAGATGCATCGGGCTCTGCGGTCTCTCCTACCCGCTCCAGAAGCGCCATGAGAGCGTCGCGGGACGCCCTGAGGCGCCTCGTCCCGGCCCTAGCACTGCCCGACACGCGCCCCTCCCGCCGTGCATCTTGCTGGGATCCTCCTGCGGGATCGAGGGTCTGTGGAAAGAGGCTGCTGGGCGCTCTTGATGCTGTCTGCGCTTGCCCCTGGGAGCACACACTAGCTAAGGATGCAGATCGTGATGAGGAAGGGGAGGTGTGCAGGAGGGAAGAGCGGAGGAGGCGACAGACGACTCCTCCGCCTCGTCCTCCGCCTCGTCCTTCGCTTCTCGTTTTCCGCCTCCACCACCGCTTCCTCCCTTCGCCTTCTCATCGAGACAGCAACAGCTGTGCGCCTGGCAGCGGCCAGAGATGGCAGTTGCGAGGGTCGTTCGAAGGGGCCCTGGGACAGAAGTAAATACACACAAATAACAGGATTCCAAATATTTTCAAATCATTTCTAGGTTTTTGTTTCCCCCCCACTTCCCATATTTTTCCACATTTTCTTGGGAATCGACGATTAATTGTGTCTGTGTGTTTTTGTTCCCTCCTGGTCATTGCTTGATAGGCGCAAGACACCATTTCGCTGGACCCCCTGCGGGTGGACGCATGGAGGCTGCGACGGGCGTGCTCCTGGCAACACCCAGGGAGGGCGAGCAGAGAAAGGCAGGAGGACAGGGAAGGGCCCTGAGACGAGAAGGGACGGGAGGGGCAAGGAAGGAGCCAGGAGGAGGCGGGAGAGCGGAGGTGAGGTAAACAACAAGTGCTCTATTCAGAACGGGGGCCTCGCTTAACACATACAAAGATGGTTGAAACAACGCGAAGGTGCAGGCAGCAGGGAAGTGAAATTGCTTCCGGCTTCCAGGCCACGCAAGCCGATTGATTCCCACAGCTGGGAGCCCAGACAGGAAACATGACCCACCGGGGCCTCGACCGAACCAAACTGCCGAATGCCTCAGCCAAAGCTGGCGCGTCGACTTGGCCCCCGAATGGGCCTGACGTCTCATCGTGGCCACCTTGGGGGTGTTCTACAGCGGACGGCGATATGATGGAGTACAATAGATGACAATGCTGCAGAGCATCAGTGCCACTGGCAAGTAAAAACTGGCCTGACCTGAAATGGCGTTCAAACGCTGGGGGCATGTTCCCCGTGTTCGAGATCGACGCTGTTGTTCCGTTTGGGATCGTTGTTTTCCGTTTGGGGATTCTCATTCGCGTCGTCTTCGGTTCGGTTCCGTTTTGTACTGCCGTTTGTCGATCCTGTTGTGGGTTGCAATTGTGTGTTGTGCTCTTTTTGGTTGGCCGTAAACCTGGAAGTTCAGAAGGACAGTAATACGCTGCCAGCGCTTTTAACATCCACTGCGAACAGGCACTTTGGGATAGCGTGTCGCCGCGGCGGCCCCCGGCGACGCGCTGTGACTTGCGAGCGGATGGCGTGTCACTCCGCTCCGCGTGGCGCGGAACATCTAGCAACGTCAGAAATCGAGTCGAAGGGCAGCCCCTTCCCTCTGATCCCTACCCCGTCGGGGGAGAGATCCAAGGGAAGGGGCTTCCCTTCGACGCTCATCGCCCCGGATGGTGAACCCCGGGCCAAGATGCAGGAGCCCAGAATCGAATCGATAAGCCGAATCGGCAATCGAAATTCGCCGGCCCAACGGGCCAAGGGCGTGCTAAGATCTCCGGTAACTTGTTAACAATATTTCTAATTCGCGCGCGCGGGGCCGCCCCCGGGGGTCCCCGGACGAAAAGTACACCCGCAAGTCCCGGCCAACCCCCGGCCA